CATTTTGTATATAGTGCAGTTCGTGTATTATGTTTCTGTATGTTCTGAGAGTTGCACTTGGTAATGGTTTTACTAATTTAATATAATTAATTGCTTCTTGTATAGCACTTGCTTGCTTTACGAAATCTATATTGTGTTGATAAATTTTGGTTATCTCTATCTCTTTGAATTGTTGCTTAATTACTGGATCTAAGTATTCTGTTAATAGATGCTGTAGTTTTTCCTTTACTTTTTCTTTAGTATACAATAGTTTACTTGATCCACTAAATTCATATTTACTTTTAAGATACACTCGATATTGCAAATCCTTACTAGGGTCCATTAATTAGTTGTATTTGTTTAAATATTTCTTCTAAATATTTCCTTAATTCTGGTATGATTGGTAGTTGTTGTACTTGTTCCTTTGTATAAAATTTTTACATTGCGTGATTTTCTGGTTCAAGAGTTTGTGGATATTGTATTCTGTTTTTGTAAATAAATGTTTTTATTTCAATATTTTTTCTGAATAATAACTATATATTACTTCTGTTAATTTGCTAAGAGGTATTTCTATTTCTGTTTCTTTAAATGTTTCTCGCTTGGCTATTTGTTTAAATGATTCAAGGTATGTAATTTGCTTTTCTCCTGGTGGTCTGTAATGTTGATAATATACTTTTTTTGGATATATTTGTTGTGTTAATAATATTGCTGATTTTGAATTGAATACTATTACTTGTGATATCTTCATTAATGGTACTCGTTGTCTAGTTTCTCGTCGTATTTTAATTTTACTTCGTTATTATGTATAATTAGTATAGTTCTGGTAATATCATACAATATGTGCTTTAAAGCTGCTATATAATAATTTTGTGCTTGAAAAGCTTTGAGTCTGCTATCTTCGTACCTTGTTAACCAATTCTTGATTCTATTTTTTCTTCTGATTAAATCAATAATATATCTGTATTTGAATAAGTTGTCAATATTTAAGTCTTCATTTTTGTTTTCTTTGATATTTTCTTTCTGGTATTTAACTAGTATATTAATTACTTCGTTTTGAAGATACTTGATTTGTTTGAGAATTTCTTTGGTATTATACTCTTCTTTCGATTTGGTTTTATATAACTTATATTCTCCTTTTAGATATTCAATTTGTAGATCTTCCATCTGTCAGGTAGATAATAATTAGAGGTCTACTTGTACTTGATACTGTTTGGATTGCTTGGATTGCTTGTATCATTACTCTTAGTTTTTCAATTACTACTTCTTTGATATGTGAATCTAGTTCAATAGTTTCGAATAACATGTCTATAGTTTGGTCAAGCTGAATTAATATCAGATAAAGTTGTGTTCGTGTTTGACTTATTTTAACTTTATATGCTATCAAAAGGCTTGTTAATTGTTCTATTTCAGAAGTATTTTGTCTTAGTACTAGTAGTACTTTTTGCAATAATATATTATTGTTCTTTCACTCAGCTAAATCTTGTAATAATTGTTCAAATTTGGTTTTAATAATCTAAATGAAATTGAAGTAATCTGCTATCAATTCTACTTGGTTGACTTGATTACTCATTAAGAGTTTTGGTATTTATCACTTAAGTGTTGTATTAGATCATATATTGCATTAAAGTTTTCTTTTGTTAGGTATTCAATTTTTAGATTTAAGTTTTTTATATCTTGGTTTATACGAGTTTGGATTGACAAATCTCTTTTCTTCTGGTTAAAGAGGTATCTTATATTTTTTATCCTATTAAGAGTAGAATGATGGTATATTCCTGAGAATAAAGCTTCAGTATATTACAAAAGATCTCTTATTTTCTGTTGTTCCGAACTCGTTATAATTGCTAATTCTTGGTCTATTTCGTATGAGTACTGGTTTATTATGTTATTTATTGTTTTTCAGTTTCTTGGATTTCTTATATTATGAGTCATTCGTTGTTTAATATCGCTACTAAGATAAATTTATTGTCTTTTTATAAACTTCGGTAATGTATAAATAATTGTAGTAATAGTTATTTAATTAATTTAAATTGTTCTAATTTATCTTTATTCTTGGTTTCTATTCATGAATTCTTCATATGCTTGTCAAAATTCATTAGTCATTAGTGTGGTTATTATTTTTGTAAAGAGTTTTTTTCACTTTGCATCGCAAGTTTTTCATATGTCTTAATCGGGTTTGGTAGTAGTCTCTTTGGAGATT